TCAATTTTATTCTAAAAATTAAGTTCCTGGCCTCTCCATGAGGGTTCTTAGCTCACAGTAGAAGTATAAATAAATAAAATGGTGACTCAGGAACATGCTAATTGTCCCTCACTTCAGGAGGCCAATCCTGAAATTGTATTTAAAATCTTTGTTAGTGGGCAGCTAGGAAAAGGGCAGGCCACACCAGATTTCACCAGCCTTGTTAGCTTGGGGGCTGCTAAGTCAGAATCCTTCAGGTGCCCAGCAGGTCTTCTCAGTGGGTGACACTCACCTGGGTGCACAGAGGTGAGAGGTCACCCTCCATAGAAAGGGAATTACGCCGGCAGACGACAGATCCAGTGACATATCTTATTTCTCAAGAACAGGAAATTGGGATTTTTATGTGAAATTTCCTGGCTTTTTAATGTTGATAAATAATCCACATTTCCCCAAACATTGGTACAGGCCAAACAAAACACATCTGTGGGCTGAATTTGACCAATAGGCTACCTATTTATAAGGTCAGCTTGGGCGAAGCACCGCTAATGGGTGGTGTTGTGTCCCAGATTTTAGCACTGAGGCCCTACGAGTGGGGGACATGGGAGCCAAGAAAAGCTCCAGGCACTTTTTACATACGTCCACACATTTATTTATGCCTCCTCACAGCCCTGCAAGGCAACCATTGTCATCAGTAGTTTATCTCCAAAATTGGGGACAAGAAAAATGAAATCACTTGCCCAAGGTCATGCAACTATGAAGAGTGGAATCAGGATTTGAAGTCCTGTCCAGATTAGACACCTGTATTAGTTTGCTCAGGCTTCCATAGCAAATACCACGGACTGCTTGGCTTAAACAATAGACTTTTTTTTCCTCACTGTTCTGCAAGGTGGGAAGTGTGAGATCAGGGTGCCAGCAGATTTGGTTCCTGGTGAGAGCGCTCTTACTGGCCGCCATCTTGCTGTGTTCTCACATGGCCTCTTCTCTGTGTACATGAAGGGACAGAGCAAGCTCTCTGGTGACCCTTCTTATAAGGACTCTAATCCTCCATCACGGGGGAAGGGAAGGGCTCGTGACCTCATCTAAACCTAATTACCTCCCAAAGGCCCAATCTCCAATACTATCATGTTGGGGTCGGGGGTAGGGCTTCAACAT